AGGGTCTGAGTAAGGTGATCGTGGCTCGACACAACGGTACAGGACGGGATGGGAAAGAAGTGTACGGCGTGGTGCCGAGCGGAGCCGTGGCTGACGATGTGAGCCCGTACTTCACTCGTTGACACGCTGGTTGGTGGTTGTCATCACGTCCAAACGCCAACAATGGCTTAAGGCAGACCATGCGAGTGTAGGTGTGTGTGAAGAAGAGACTCGAAGATGGATCCAACATGCGACCATTCAGTGTCAGTGTCCTTTCACGGGCACTCCAGACATCCCACTCGCCCTGGGACGCCGCTGATTACTCGAGGGGGATGTTCGGGCCATTATGTTCAGGAACTTGCTCCTCTTGCGAGTGCTTCTTGTACACAAACGTCCCAGTAGACTCTGCTTTCGGCAAAGATAATGGAGCCAACTCCTTTCGGGATGCTCCAAGTAGCACCGGCGTCCCTTGAATGACATCAGACCTGTGTCAGCAAGCCTCACCCTTCTTCGTAAGCCTTCATGTAGCTTCCTCGTGAAACTGTAGATCGCAATGGCAAGTCAGTGCATCATCCCTTTTGGAGGAGGTAGCACACTTCGAAGTACCATTACGCCGATACAGTACCTTTAAAAGTTTTTGACCTTGTTTTCGCAACTCGGTCATATTGATAGGAAGAATTAAAGAAACACACTTAGTCCGGAGTCCATTGCATGCATGATCATGAACTCTTTCCATATCTTCTAATAATACTCAAGTTTAGAGTTTTTATACATGTGGCAATATAATATAGATAATTCATGTAGCTTTCTTTACTTAATAGACAAAGCATAATTGTAATGAAACATTACCTTCAAATGGCAAACGAAATCGTAGACATTTATGGATTGGCCGATTACAAATAAGAAAGTAAATTATATTTTATGAAAAGATTCGAAAAATCTATATGCTTACTCACTATTTCTTCGTTATCTCTCACTATTTTTGAAAAAGAATACTTAAATCTTTCCAACGAAACTCCATATTTATAATTTCTAATAATAGTTGGAGCAAGTTTATAATAGAAGTTGTTTGACCTTGTTTTCGCAACTTGGTCATGTTGGTAGGAAGACTTAAAGG